GCATCGGTAGACTCAGTAGTAAAGGATGTCATGTAGACCCCGCCGTCAGCGGTTTGCGTTATAAGGCCCAGCTATTGATACAGACACTCTAGCCGATGTTATCGATGCATACAGGGCCGATGCATCGATCGATTGGCTGCTGTTACTCGTAGAGTTGAGATTCCTGCACTGGTCACCACTGGAATAGATACTTGTGTACAACAGTGATCGAACCAGGACTCTCGACATATCCCGGACTTGATCGGCTAATTGTACACGTGCCACCAGAGCGGCCATCAGTATAAGCTTGGAAAGATGCGGCTTGACAGGTATCTTGACCAGTCTGGGCGTTTAGAAGAGAGCACTGCGCTGCACATGTTGTTTCGCTATCCACTGGGACTGGTGGTCCAACGCGGTCTTCAGTCTGGAGTTGTGTATTACACATGACTATGTAGTTGAGTCGAACACCATCCACGATTTGATCTATGTGCTTGCCATCATCTTCAGGGCAGCTGAAAGGGATGGCAGTAACCGAAGGCACGGAAGAGGTAGGAGCGCTAGTAATTGGCGTAGTGGAGCTTGTGGTAATAGACATGGGCGTTACAGCGGCGCTTGACTGAAGAGCGGCTGAGATCGATGTCTGCTCACTGGAGGATACAGAAGTCGCGTCGGCGCCAATACCAGAACTTGCGGCAGAAGACGAAACGACAGAAGAAAGGACACTATTTGTTTTAGCGATCTGCATGCTGTTAAAGGACTTGATGAAGACTAACCTTGAGCTGCTTGCGCTCGTAGACGAAGTCCTGATTACGGTCGTTCTTGCCGTGAAGACTCTGGTATCTGTGAGTGTGATGATTGACAAGATTCTGAAACCAACTGTGCTAGTCTATAAGATACAGTATCAGCCAAGTTTCTTGATCAGGGCGATGTAACTTACGACAGCAGGAACCGTGTAAGACTCCGTCACTGTTGCGGTTGGATCCACCATCTTGCAAGAACACGCGTTTGCAAGCGCAGATTCGGCTTGTAGCTGTTGCGTGTTCTTCGAACTTGTTGGAAATACTGGAGCACTCGCCGGGGTGACTGATGTACCATTGGCAACAACAGCTGAGAAAATTTGCTCTCCAACAGCAAAGAGATTAGCCGCTCGCCGTCTGGGTATGATTGTAGTGGTAGCTGTCTCTACAACCGTGGAAGTGGTCACCACACGCGAAGTGATGGTTGTCGCAGTGGTAGAGTTGGCACTGGTTGTGACAGTACTGCATGCTGTAAGCAAGGCTTCAGTATACGAGACATTCTGGAACTGAGACTGTCGGAGTAAATTCGACAACCGTGGTTGCAGGTGGAATACCCAGATAGTCGTTACAGAAAACAGTGACTCCGTTCTTCGGCACACTGTCCAGGAACGCCTGCCATTGGTCATTTGGACAGATCAGCTGGTACTGATGCTTTTCGGTCACTCCATTGTGTGATGCGGCTCGTGGTTGATGTACTGGGTATATTGCGTTCTCATTTTGCTGGGCATGTTAATCGTGCTTTCGATGCAAACTCCACTCTTCAGCCAGCGTTGAAAATGAAAGAAAAAGGGCCGAAGCCTGTAGGGAACGAATGATGAACATGACGGGGTACCCAAGAGAGTGAGGGTTGTCCCAAGAAAACGTTGATGAGGGTACCTGACTGGCCTCGAGGGGTGATGAATGGATGCGGGATCATGATGGCACACATATAAGGGACCACGGCAGAAACAACAGGCTGTCCATGCGTGCTGCCAGCCATCCAGATTGTGGCCATGTCTAGAATGTACCTTGCAGAGCGATGGGTACTGATACGGAGTATAGTACATCGGCTTCGCAAGATGACCTTGCGTGGAACCTCACTTGAGAATGTTGTAAGTCATGGTAGCGAGAGTCCATTGCCCGGTTCGAGGAGCCTTGGCGTTGACCATGCCTTTCAAAGACTTACGAAATGGAGGAGAAGCGCCAAGCTCCCTATCACACACGCGTCATCAGAATGTTTTATGACGGCTCTTCAGCCTTTCAAGCTGTGTCAAGGGAGAACGATGGTTTCAAAGTGGTCACCAATCAGCAAGGTTGTCAGTAATCAATATCTCATCAATATTGTTGTTTGATTTGTTTGATTCGGAGCCAACCAACTAACCAACAGTTAGCCACTGTATTTCTGTCAATCAATCAACCAATCTTGAGAACAAAATGTTGATAGGATTGGTGTTGTTTGATAGTAAGCGAGGGAGGGGGATACCTAGGTGAGGCCTCTGGGATAGCTGCTCAACGACGAATTCTTAGTGTTGGATCTTGCTTACTAAGCCTACTCGCGTGTAAGTTTGTCAGATTGAGGCGAGGTTTTGCTCCATGATCGAGCCGATGGTGGTTGGGGAAGGACATGAGACCCCCAAACCAGGGCTAGCGCCGGGACTTAGCACTGCCAAGCCCGAGGCGAGGCCACCTCCCACAGACAGAGCCGTAGACAGAGACAGACAATACACTTGATCCCATCCATAAAAATCTGACAAAGTTATATGACCTAGGTTCCATCCCATCTCTCACTCACTCCAGGCTAGTACGTACGAGGCTTAGCGCCCACAACGCTAGCTGGCAGAGACATAGATCTCAATTCCTGTAGCACAATACACAACACGATTCACACATGTTCCATTCCTAGTGCTACTGACATCAGGCTTATAACATTTAACAACACCTTACTTTCTCGCGGCTCCGGCTTACTTTTAGCCTTATCCATGCCCTCTATACCAGCAAAACGCAAGCCCGAGGCTGCCGAAGAAGCTGATACTCCCTTCAAGCGAGCACAACGTACGCGCAAACCTACGCTCAAGGCGCTGTTGGGTGACGGCAGCCAGCCAACCCAGCCGATAGAGCTGCCAGAAAGTACGCCGGATCCGCCTACAGAGCCGCCTACAGAAGTTATCGAGCCGCCCACACGGGCTATTGAACCGCCATGTAAGCCTGTACAACAACCCGAGGAGCGCCCTCGGCGGGCATCACCACTGCCTATTTTGGCTGCCTCACAAGCCTCTCGGCTCACTGATGAGCCAGCCTGGGAGTCGCAGTTAATGTTTGATAAGCCAGAGGACTCTATTGTACAGCCTTTAGCTTTCTCTAGCGCTGCCACTGAGGCTTCGGTGGAGGAGGATAGCGCTGTGAGCGTCGATTTTCGCGACTTTGAGGGCGTCGATTGGTCGCGATTAAAGGGGTTTGTCGCGCCGCTGAGCACTCCACGAGGCAAGGCAAGCTGGATTTTTCAACACGGCTGGCGTGTCTGGAAGGAGGGTACTCACCACCCAGATGAGTTGTACTTTGTGTGCAAGTACTGTCATATTCATAAGCTACCTAATGGTGTACACCGAGTAACGAAGTCAACCACTGCCGCCAACGGGCACCTCCAGCTTGATAAACCTGGTCATCGGCTCAGCAAAGACGGTCCAATCCTAAGCAAACCTCTCCGCAAACATGGACAACAATCACTTCGTCAGGCAGCTCTAAGCGGTGTCAAATTTAGTCTAGAGGCGTACAAGACTATAGGAAACTTCGACGTACAAGAATTTCGGCAAGCAGCTGCGCTCTGGCTGGTCGACAACAACAGACCACTCCGCGAGTTTGAGACGCCGGCTTTTCGCAAGATGATCAGGCTTGCTAATCCTGAGGCAGAGGCGGCGTTATGGAGGTCTCATAACAGCGTGTCAGCGTTCGTGATGAGGTTGTACAGTTGGCTACGACCTCAGGTGGTGCGCGCGTTGGCTGAAGCCGAGAGCAAGGTACATATAAGCTTCGATGGGTGGACGACAAAAGGCGGCAAACGTGGCTTCTTTTCTGTAGTTGCTCACTACGCCAACAGTAAGGGCGCGATAGTTGACCTACCCATCGCGCTGCCGCAGCTGGTGGGTGCCCACACTGGTGAGGCGATAGCTGACGCTGTAACCAAAATCCCTGCAATCCTTCAGCATCAATCGCAGCAAACTCGGCTACTTTGTGCTCGATAACGCTTACAATAACGACACCGCTGTTAACAAACTCGCCGCGATGTACCACTTTTCTGCCTCCGATCGCCGCCTCCGCTGCGCTTGCCACATACTTAACCTTGTTGGCCAAACGATTATGTTCGGGAGGGATGCTGACGCGTATAACAACGCCCTGGAGAACACAAAGATGGAGGATTTTTACATGAAGGAGTGGCGGAAAGAAGGACCGCTTGGCGTGTATCTTGATATTATCAACTACATCAACCCGCCGAAGCAGTGGAGCATTTTTGAAGATTGCCAACGCGAGGCAGTTAACAGCATGCCCACAGGCGCCAGCGGCGGCACTCGCGAGCCAATTAAGCCGTGTGTTACACGTTGGAACAGCTATTACGACTGCTTTAAGCGCGGAGTTCAGCTCCAACAAGCTATCAACGCATACGCCACGTACCACATTCGCGAGACTGAACAGGCTGACGAACAGGCAGCTATTAGAGGAAACAAGCTGCCTGATGTGCCGCGGTGGATGAGGTCAGACGGCCTTACGGCGGCTGACTGGGCGGTGATTACTGAGTACATGGCGATACTGCAGCCGCTCAAGTTTGCTACAGATCGCCTCCAAGGCCGCGGCAAGTGTGGCCGTTTTGGCGCACTCTACGAGGTCATCCCAGTATTTGAGAGTGTGATAACTGAGCTGGATGCACGCCTTCGGCCATACGAATCGGTCAACCACGAGCCATCTGAGGCGCCCGAAGATCACATCCCCGATCAACCTGCGAGCCGCGAGGCGAAAAGCGAGCAATTACTTTACTAAGATCCTCCAAAGTCCCATTTACTACGCAGCTACGGCACTACATCCACGATATAAAACATACTCTAAGCGCTTCTGGCGCAACAAACCTACACAATTGAGCACCGCGCACGCGAAGTTTCTGCGGGTTTGGGCTGCCTACAAGCCTGCCGCTGCTGCCACAACACCAACCCCTGCGCCAAAACCTACCATGAGCAGCTTTGACGACGCTATCGACGCTATACTAGATGAGGACGGCGAGCATACAATGGAGGTGGAGGATGAGTACGATAGCTGGTTAAAAGAGCCTATATGGACGTCTGATCAACACAAGGAGGGTCCAACAGCTGTACAGTACTGGTTATCGTTGAAGCCGAAGTATCCACATCTTTCACGATTGGCGATCGACGTGTTGACTATACCCGCCTCCAGCTCTGATTGTGAGCGCGTTTTTGCGGGAACTGGCGATATAATTGAGCCACAAAGGCGGAAAATTGGCGCGCAGTTACTGGCTGCTTTGGTGTGCTTGCAACGGTGGACTCGTGCAGGTTTTACAACACCAAGCACGACAACAGCAGCAAAGCATACTGATGAGGAGCTCACGGAAGAGTTTGCGATAGGAACGTGGGAAGAGCCGCCTGCAGAATTGTCATAGAAACGTCCCTTCAGAACCTTAAGTCTATCAATATTCAATCAATCAAGCAACCAAAAATTGGCTCTTCAGTCTCATCAACTCAAACAAACAAACTGTAACCCTAAGAAATGAGCTAATCAATCAACATCTACGCCTCAAATGTTGGTTGTTTTGTTTGTTGACTTCTCTGCCAATCAGCGACTCACAATAGACCGGATGAGACTTGTGAAATGATTCCAGGTACAAAACGATACCACAGGTTACCGCATCGTATAGTTGGCTGATGTGTAGATTGAACAGTCTCAGGTAGTAATATCGGAACGAGCAATGGTGGCCATTAAAGGGGTCTAGTGTTCTTTCCGTGATGTTGTCTAGTGGCAGGTGCCAAGGGGTATGGAGTGGGCGAGGTGATAGGAATGCTCATTCTGATCGACTATAGCAAATTTCTCAGACACAGGCATTGGTTGATGCGATGATGCAATGAGGCTGGAACACAATGTGAACAGTGAATGTGTGAGAGGAGTGAGTGACGATGCGGCTCTTGCCCGCCAAGATATCGGAGATTTCGTATCGCCGATCATCACAACTCGAAGGGAAGCCGCATTGCGCCATCATCAACAGAGCACCAGCCCGTCTCCTTGAGTGACAGGGAATGACTCCAGTAGACCAGCATACATCTCACTCACACGACGTATTGATATTGTAAAGATAAACGTATTACTCAGATCGACGTATACACGCGCACGCGCATCTCGACCTCGGACCCCTTCAGCTCCATTCCATGGGTATCTGCTCGTCGTGCCTGGGAGGGCGGGCTTCCGAAGATGTGAGTGCTTGTGTATGCGCCACCACTTTCTGACAAGTTACTGATGCTCCCTTGCAGCAGTCGGATACTTCGCACTTACTGGGAGACCAGTACCAGCCCAACTATGGCACCTCCAGCAGCAACCACAACGTGCCCCAGCCGGATCCAGAGGAGCTACGCCGGCAACGAGAGAATCTGGAGCGCATTTGTGCTGAGACCAATGAGTGAGTTCACCCTGCCTTTGCGCCGTTGCACTCCCTCCGTCCCATCTCGCCCTGAACTTGACGCTCATCCCTTGCAGGCAACTAATCCCCGTCTCACAACCGAGCGCCCTCCCCGAAGTCAGCGAACAGCCCAAGAACGACGAATACGCCCATCTCTTCAATGAACGCTTCAAGTCGATCCGCAGAGATGGTCGTCCTCCCTCCGCTGGCGACAACGACGAGGATGAGACCAACTGGCTAGAGAGCGCTGTGGGCAGCCAAGGAGAGGAGGAGCTGGACCAGATCAAGCCGGCCAAGGGCAAGCTCACGATTCAGTTTGGTCAACGGTAGACACACACATCCTTTCTAGGCTGAGGCTTGTCGCATCTTTTTATTGCTTGTTCTACTCTGCATTGTCAAGCGCCCGTTACGGATACCCATAATCTTCTCTTTTTGCCACTCGCATGCTTGCTCTCTCATCACCACTGTCTTTCTTAATGCTAGCATAGACATGTCTGTACAATTTCATCTGATGTTTGCGCGTCTTCCTTCGCTCGCCTCATACTACGACATTGTCATCACGCGCTGCAGCAATTTACGGTTGCAAAAATACACGATTTCAAGCTGATATTGATCCTTCCTTATCCTACTTCTCATGCAACCACGCTATGCAAATAACATATCAAGCTGATTATGCAAGGGCCCGTCCTCCACTGTCATCGTCGCCCGTGGGCGTATTCTTCGCTAGTAGCATAACAGCTGCCTTCTAATGACGGGTAGGAATAAGGGAATATCAAATGCAGACACCAATCTGCTAACCTTAGCAGCACCCCTATTCGCTGGACGTCAAATCCCAACCACGTATCTGTCAAGGGAACACCACACCAGGCGGGTTTGAGTTGCTATGTGAGCGTAGTTGGTGGCAGTGACGCGGGCGCACCTCGGCCAATCCCAAGCTCCTGCAACGCCCGAACTGCATAGCCATCCATCAGTTGTCCAAGCTCAACAGAGTACTCGTAGCCAATGCGATCAAGACGCAACAACAAGCCTGGTCGTACCTGCTGCTGCGTATTATGATCTAGCTTGGTGTACACCTTCTTGCCCCACACCAGGGCGGCGGCCTCCATGGCGTGCAACACCGCCTTTTTCTCCTCGTCGTCCATGGTATGGCCCTGGTACTTGGCGGCCGCTGTCTCGACGAAACCGCGAACTGTACACAAGTACTCTTGCCTCTCGACATCACTCTCCATAACGTTAGCTTCTTGAAGATCCGTCCATGCTTTGTAACTTACCTTGTTCACAGTCATCTGGCTTGCTGATGCCTCGCCGGCAGCCTCGTGGCCCTTGTCCTTCTGCATCCTCTCCCTAAGCTTGGTTTGAATGTTCGGATAGATATCGTCTGCCGAAGGGCGTGGCTTACCGTCGCGCTTGATGATGGCTGGGATGCGTGGTGCCGGGTTTGATAGGATAGGTTCGCGACGTCCTAGAAGGTGCTCGTCGTAATGTTCGACTCCGTGTTGACGCATCAGCTCATGGATCCGGCCAGACTTAGGAACGACAGAAGCACTTGGGTCGGCCAGATTGGGTGGTGCCGACAAAGGTGTATGTTCCTGCGGTGCTGACTTGCGAGATGCACGTGTGGTTGGCGGTGCCCTGCCTGCGGTAGCGAGAGCGCTCTCTGCAAACGTCAGCTCACTACGGCGGCGTTTGCTAGGTGTCGGCGTGGCGTGGTCAGGCTCGAAGTTGTCCTCGGACGAGTCCTCGGATACACTATCTTGAGCGCGACGCTTCTTGTTGGCCAAAGTCTTCTTGTCAGTTGACTTCTTGGTAGGTGACACCATGTGGTCGTCGACTACTTCTCCATGCTTGGTCTCATCGGCGCTCTTCTTGGTAGCCTCGCCCGTGGGTGTGTTTGTAGAAGGAGACGGCTTCATTCTTACTGTTCGCTTTCCAGTTCCGGGCGTGGCAGCACCTTCGGTTGCACCTGGTGTTCCCATGTTCCCGTGACGAAGGCCCTTTCCTCGCTTTCGGCGCTTCTCGTAGCAAGGCGAGCAGAGTTGGAATGTGCAATTCGGGCAACGAAGCATGGTCTTCTTGTTCCGCTTGTCACATTCAGTACATTTGGCGGTGTGTACAGTCACTGTGGCATATAGTTCTTTGTCATCGGTGCATGTGGTCACTACCGGGGCTGCTGGCGTGCGAGGCGTACGAGCTGGAAAGGGACTGCTAGGTACATGAGGGGTATGGGGAGGGGGGCTTCGATGGCCTGCCGGTGTCGTGGGGATAGGTGTCGTAATAGGAGCAGATTCCTTAGCGCTGTGGGCCGGGTCGGGAGTTGCAGGAGGAGCCGTGTCGCCACTCATGGGACTCTGCTTAGCCAGCCTGTCCGTCATTTTTGCGTTTGCTTTATCTTTGGGAATAAGTTAGATTGTGATCATGCTGATATACCGCAAACAGGTCGAAGGGGGCAAGGAGAATAGAGCATTATACCTGGAGTGTCCATGATGAGGTCAGATCTGACAGATGGTTTCGAAGTTGTGGTGACTCTCTAGTGGTGATAAAGTAGAGAAAAGCAGTGGAAGTCTTGGGGTATCGTGGGATGTTATACTGGGTGGGCTGCCGCTAATTCGAGGGTGACGTTCGATTCGGCTGTGGGCTCAACCTGTTGCGCGGCGTAGCCTGGGATACGAAGTGAACAATAGTTCACAATAGGATCCAGAGGAGAACAATAGTTTGAATAGGTGCCAGAGTAGCCCGTAAGTGAATCCGTAATGTTGAACTGAAGGTGAGGCACCAAGAGAGGCACACCTTCGCTTGGTATTGTGGCGTTATTCAGTCCCTAACAGTCCGACTTTCCACAATACGATAGACGAGTATCAGCGACCTGCAGATCGAGCAGAAATGGACATATGTGCAGAAGAAGTGCAAAGAGCAGGAAGCGCCGCCGACAAGCTATATACAGGACGACCGATAAAGTATGTGAAGAGAACTACCGTACCATACACTCACATATGCGACGAAGTCACAGGCGAACAGGCAGACGCGGAAATCATTATATTTCTGTGAAGCGCCGCTTTATACGCATAGTGTGCATGTGGGTCGGTTTCCCGTTGGCACGACGTTCCAGTCACCTCTATTGCTGGAGTCATATGGAGCCGCACTGTCAGCCTTCACATGCAACGGGCGACCCACGAGCCGTGGGCGTTGGTTTCACGACAAGTACAATTGAATCATGTCAAACAGTGGAGAAGTCAGTTGGTATCGCCACAATGCCCGATGCGGCAACGTAGCCTTTGCGATGTCGTTGCAGGTGATGGAAGACAGGTCGGATGTGGGCGGAGCAGCACAGCAAAGCATAGGTGAGCTATGATTGGAGATGGCTTCCGAGGATCTAAGACCTCATGGGGTGAAGAATGGGTCGATGGGGGGTGGATCAACGTGCGATCTGTAGGGGTGTTGGATCTTGGTGGATGGTTTGCATGCCCGGCGGTTCGTCACGCGAACGTATGAGAACGTCTGCGGGCCAAGTTCGCTGCGGATCTCGATTCGAGAGTCCCTGCTCGACATTGTATCGATGGGCTCTTCTGCTGTCAAGATCGGGGCAATCTGTTTGACGATATCGGAGAAGGCGAAGAAGATCACGCGGCAGATAAAGGTACATAATATGGTTGTGTAGAAAGACTGGATGCGTTGGATGTGAATACCATGACAGACGCAGTCGCGTTCTTATCAACGTCTCCAAACGCTATGCCGTGTATTTGTAAAGGCCACTGGAATGGAAACATCGATACTCGCAAGACACATGTACGGGTTCAAGCACATTTGATGGCTGCGAGAGCAACAAAAGCCACATTCCAACAAAGGAAATGCTGAGAGCATTTCAAAGATAGCAAGCATGGGCCCTCAAGTCTTCATCTATCGACTTGTTGTATACGATCGATGACGGGGTATGGTATCTGGCTGTAGCGCCGCCATCGGCGGTAGACGCTTACCACTTTCGTCGTCAGAGCTGTCCGGGAGACCCAAGCGCGGCACAGCACCCGTCTGCAGGTACCTCAATGCACATCATGTCGAAACTCAACGAGCCGCGTCACAACCTGTCAGCGTCTATCAGCGCTGACGGCATGTTGCCGCTCTAACTATGGCGTAAGTTGGGGCTGATTAGTGCGCGTCTCCCCCCTCCCCCGCCGCTTTCTTACTTGTTACGGGGCACTAACAAAGCTGCCGTCACCGGCCTCTTGACCGGCATATTACTTTGAACAAATGCTTCGACCGCAGTCGCAATATTAGTAATTCCTCGGGTGAGCTGGAAGCCGGTCTCTCCGTATGCACATACGTGAGGGCGCAAAGACAAGGTAGCTGAGTCGGCGATGAGCGCAGAGCGCCCTCACTAGCCACACTGCTAAGCTAGGTAGGAAAGGGCGCAGCTTCTTCATTGAGAACATTGCGCACTGCTCCATGGCCTGTCGCCGCGCAACCATCAACATACGTTCAAACTCATCAAGCGCTTGTCGCGGCAGAGTGGCAAGAAGAAGTGCGGTGCTTGTCCATATAGTTAATCCTCTGAGCTGCGTCAGACGCGACTCGCAAGCTTTTCAGATAGCAAACCGCGCCTCAGCAACCTGCATGCTTAAGCGAACTTCTCCCCGTATCCGGAATCCTACCTCAACCCTCCTTGGTCGCGCACGCCGGGTATTCTTAAGCAGACGCCAGTGTCTGTGGCGGTGCTGCAGACCATAGAACAAGATTATAAGCTTGGCTCTGCATTTTTCTTGTTTGACGGCCGCCGCCTCACTCGCGTGGTCTCAAGCACCCTCCTCTCGGCGGCCTCCCCTCATAACGGTTTCGGGTCCGAGCGTACAACACAGTCGCACGCCTCCCAACAAGCGGCCTGCCGGATCGATAAATTGGTTCTGCAGAGTAATCTGGCTACCGTTCCGGTGGCGTCGACTGCCCATTGTCCCGGAACCCCCCCCCCCCCCCCCCTCTCGCAAGAGTAACATCGTTGTCAAATTCCTATCTCACGACGCCAAACCGGGACCATGGATCAATCATCTCCTTCAACGACGTCTCACCCCGCAATGGATCTTCTGGATTATATGCATGCCCCTACGGTAGGCTTCTACTACTTTGGGGCATGCTTTTTCAGTCTTTGCGTCCTACAGAAAACTCGAGTGGTGACGCAGAAGAGACGGCGAAGTATAGTGGTCCATATGACTGCAATACTACTGGCATACATCACAGAAGTTCTTTACTACTTCAGTCGTTCGATGGGCGAGGCCGACTATGAAGCCCCCCAACCAGCTGCAATTCATTGTCTGGGGTCCATATTGGTCTGGAGCCCCCTCATTTACATGCTTTGGTCTAGCAAGACGCTTCGATGGCATGCATACTTTGGTGCCTTTGTCTTGCAGTTTGCATTGGAAACTACAATCTTCCTGGTTACGGCGTTCTCACAATTCCCTGAAGATCGGAGGAGAAATCTGCCTTTTATCGTCAGCTGCGCCAGGGCCGGTATTTCGCTGATGCTCTTACTTGACGCATTTGTCATTTTGGTCACCAAGCAGGCAGAGGTCAGTACAGACGAGGAACGTCAGTCACTGCTTGGCGGTGATGAACCAAATGGGGAAACAAGCACTTCAGCTCCCAAAATCTCTACTCCTAGCTACGGCGCCATCTTACCAATGGACTCGGACGACGATATGGATAGCGACGTTGACGAAGACGAGGATGCCGAAGGAATCAAAGCAAAACAAGCGCAACGTCTCGAGGAAGAGGGTGGATGGTTTGGATACCTCAAAGGCTTCGCTATTTTCTTGCCCTACCTCTTTCCCAAGGACGACTGGAAAGTCATGGCATGTCTCGGCCTACGATTGATTCACATGTTGCAAGAGCGTGTTCTCAATTTGCTGACGCCTCGCCAACTTGGTATCATTACCAACAAGCTGCAACATTCTTATGAGACACAAAGCGGCGTGATGCCGTGGAAGGACATTGGACTCTGGGTTCTCTACTCGTACATTAACAGTTACGCAGGCCTTGGTATCATTGATGGTATAGCGAATCTCGTAATCTCAAACTCTGCGTACCGCCGTATCACTTTGCTCGCTTACGAGCATGTACTGGGATTGTCGATGGACTTTCACACTTCGAAAGATTCTGGTGAAGTTTTGAAAGCGGTTGAGCAAGCCTCGTCTCTCAATTCGCTCATCGAGATGGTTCTGTTCGACGTTGCGCCTATTCTCTTGGATCTCATCGTGGCCATGTACTACGTCACACATCTATTCGATGCTTATATGGCTTTCATCATCCTCTTCATGGGCGCCGCATACATCTCGATAGGAGTCTACTCCACGACACTGTCGCAGCCCAAGAGAAGAGATTACGTCGAGAAGCAGCGAACGGAAAGTTCGACAGTCAACGAGACGGTGCACAACTGGCAGACGGTAGCTTACTTCAACCGCTTGGCATTCGAACACAAGCGATATGCCGAGAATATCATCAACACCATCTCTGCGCAATATCAATACTACTTCCGCTCCATGGGCGGGCACGCAGCGCAGGACATCTTGACGACTTTTGGCTTTGCAGGCGCTTGCGTCTTTGGCATGACATCAATTGTGACAGGAAGAAAACCGGTCGGAAACCTCGTCACTTTGATCATGTACTGGCACACGATGACCTCACCACTTTACGTTCTTTCATACAGCTTCCGGCATATTTCGAGTTCTCTCATCGACGCTGAACGACTCCTTCAGATGCTGAACACCAAGCCCACGGTAGCTGATATGGAGGGCGCCAAAGACATTGAAGTACATACAGGCGAAGTCGAGTTCAAGGACGTGGAATTCCACTACGACCCTCGCAAGCCTATCATCAAGAACGTGAGCCTGAAAGCCAAGGGTGGTCAAACGATCGCCTTTGTCGGCGAGACAGGCGGTGGCAAATCGACTATGCTCAAACTTCTTTTCCGCTTCTACGATGTCACCGGCGGATCAATAATGATCGACGGACAAGACCTCCGCTCAGTAACCCAGTCCAGTCTGCGCGAAAACCTCGGCGTGGTACCCCAGGACCCCGTCCTCTTCAACCAAAGCATCCGACAAAACATCCGCTACGCCAAACTCGACGCAACCGACGCTGAAATCGAAGACGCATGCCGCGCAGCCGCCATCCACGAAGACATCATCGGCTTCCCCGACGGCTACAATTCTAAAGTTGGCGAGCGCGGCGTCCGTCTCTCAGGCGGACAACTACAACGTATAGCCATCGCACGCGTGCTACTCAAAAACCCCAAAATCGTCATGCTAGACGAAGCAACCTCGGCAATCGACTCCTCTATCGAAGCACTCATCCAACAAGCTTTCCGCAAACTAAGCCAAGGCCGCACCACCTTCGTCATCGCCCACCGCCTCAGTACCATCGCAGACGCCGACCAGATCCTCGTCGTTGAGAAAGGTGAGATCATCGAGAGAGGCACACATCAGCAACTCTTGAAGATTCTGGGAGGCAAGTACGCGGAGTTGTGGGAGAAACAGACGGCGGGGCATCTTTCTAAGATGCCGTCGCAGGAAGATGTCAAGGATGGTGAGGCGGCGACGGCGGTGGGCGTGAGCGGTAGTGCTAAATTGAAAGATGACGATGAAGCGACTGCGACGGGGAGGAGTAGTGATAGCGATAGTAGCGGGACGTTAGGACGACGGGGATGATCGATTATATCGACGATGATGTTAATGGATGGAAAATTTGGAGGGAGGATTTCGGATTGTAACTATGGCGGTATCGTTGTTTGTGCTTAGCAGCGCTTTTACTAGCTTTCGGTCCGATCTACATAATAATGTATTCCATACCTATCTGCCTATCTATCTGTCTTTATCACAAATAGTCAAAATCGTACCTGCTCCTCCATCTCCTACCTACGTCACCACCCCATCCCATCCCATCCGCACCTCGTCCATGCCCCAAATTTCCTCCCTCTCGGACCAAAACCCTCCATCAGGCCAACCACTCTCACACCACCTTCTAGTACTACATCTTCTAAGCGACAACAACACCCGCAAAAAGGTTGTTGCCTTACACCTCAGCCTCGGAACGACTTTCTGCCGACTCGGCATCTCGCACTCCCTGCTCACTCTGATTGGCCAGCCGCTAGCATACGTAGTGGGGCATGGGGCGTTGAAACGCAACAAGCGCTTGAGACGACGTATGTGTTGGGCTGTATATAAAGCTTCCGTGCAGCTGTTGTTGGATTGTTCTTATCTCCCAGTACGTAGGTACATATGTTGTGCTAGGCGAACTACTTACGAACTAGGAAGCGGAAACGGAAGTGTGGGGATCGACCCGACCGGACCTCGATTACGATTACGATCTTCCATCTTGTAGATCACCATCCGCTGCACGACATCCACGACGATTCCATCCTATCCCAATTCCAACTCCATAAGCTCGGAACCATCCGATTTCCATCTTGGACAATCCCACTCCGTCCGTCGCATAAATGGGCGTCCCAAAACGCGGGTTGCTACTTGCAGCCTCCGCACTATCCTTCCTGCGAGCGCGCGGCGCGGTACAGGGGGGCGGTTACATCAGCAGCACAGCAGCTATCTTCACCATTCTATTACTGGTGAAGTGGTTCTATGAGATATTAATTTATCCGCATTTCTTGAGTCCGTTGAGGAAGTTGCCGCAGCCGGAGGTACGTCTAACTTACCGCACAACACCCCTGACCCCCTGTTCTCTCTCTCCCAGAGGGAATCATGACAATGCTAACGCCTGTACAGAACACAAACCCCATCCTAGGCAACTTCCTCCAGATCTTCAATCTAGCAACCGGGGAGCCGCATAGGGAGTGGATTGATGAGGTACCGAATGATGGTGTTATCTACTATCGGTGGTTGTTCAATAGTCCGAGGGTGTTGGTTGCAAACCCGAAGGCTATGGGTGAGGTGTTGGTGACGAAGAGTTATGAGTTTGTTAAGCCGGCGAGGTTGAGGGAAGGGTTGGGGAGGTTGCTTGGGGTGGGGATTTTGTTGGCCGAGGGGGAGGAACATAAGGTATGTTTCTTCGTTTGCATTTAATTCCATTTGAGGGAAAAGACCAGGATCTAAAAGATTACATTGACGCAAAACATTCGCGATCGAAGAGAATCCCTAGCCTGAAAGCATATAGTAGACTGACAATATACAGCGCCAAAGGAAACTCCTAATGCCGGCCTTCAACTTCCGCCACGTCAAGGACTTATACCCCATCTTCTGGTCCAAATCACAAGAAATGACCAACAAAGTCGCTGAAACAATAACCGCCAGTCCAGACTCTGAATCCGTCGTTGAAATCCGTGAATGGGCATCCCGCGCTACCCTCGACATCATCGGCGTCGCAGGCATGGGCAAAGACTTCGATGCCATCACAAACCCCAAGAACCCCCTCAACGAAACCTACCGCAAAATCTTCGGCAGCAACCGCAACGCACAAATCGTTCAGTTACTCCTCGGTTTCCTACCGCACTGGCTCGCCGCCTCGCTCCCGCTAAAACGCAACGACGAAATCGGAAACTCCATCGCCACCATCAAAAGCGTCGCCGCCTCACTCATCGCGGAGAAGCGAGAAAAGCTAAAATCCGGCTCCACGGGCACCGACATCCTGAGCGTGGCTTTGGAATCCGGGGGCTTCAGCGACGAAGATTTGGTAAACCAACTAATGACGTTCCTGGCCGCAGGCCACGAAACCACCGCCTCAGCCCTAACATGGGCCGTATACTGCCTGTGCTTGCACCCCTCTGTGCAAACCCGTTTACGCGCCGAACTGCGGTCTGAACTCTCCTCCGCCCTCTCACCAAACGGCACAATCACATCGTCAGAAATAGACCGCTTACCTTACCTCAACGCCGTCCTAAACGAAACTATGCGCCTCTTTCCCCCTGTGCCCCTCACACTCCGCGAAGCCGCACACGACACCACGATTCAAAACCACTTCGTCCCCGCCGGCACAACCGTCGTCATTTGTCCCTGGGCTATCAATACCAGCGTGCACCTCTGGGGCGACGACGCCAAGGATTTCAACCCGGAGCGTTGGTTGAAGCCTGGAATGGCGAATTCAGGCGGCGCAGACAGTAATTATGCGGTTTGCACGTTTTTGCATGGGCCGAGGAGTTGTATTGGGAAGGATTTTGCAAAGGCGGAGTTTGCGTGCTTGGTGGCGGCTTTGGTGGGGAGGTTTGAAGTGGCGTTTGAGGAGGCGGGGTATGAGTTGAAGATTCAGGGGGGGATTACTGCGAGTCCTAAGGGGGGGTTGAGGGTTAGGGTGAAGGAGGTTTAGGGGGTTCATGTTCATGGATGGGGTGTTGGTGGTTTTCTGCTGTCTAGTCGAGCGCATGGTTAATGATGATAGACTTGGTAATCTTCTCTCATAGTCTTAGATCTCATTGAATCTAGGTTTCGGACTAGTGTGGCTATTTGCATGTTCGTCATCTCCGTGAGCCATTGAAATGGAAGATTTCGCTTTACGTATGCGGAATTCCCTTGGATAAGGCGTAAAGGGAAAGAAATACTAACTACAGTTCGGGCGACATTACAAAAGACGTGATATAAGTATTTGAGGAGATTTTGGAATGGTATAGGGGACAATGTGTATGGGAGACGTGGGACTCGCAGTTCGGCGCAAGGAAAACAGACGAGAGAAAGATAGCAGCACAATTTGCGCGCATCAATGGTCCGCGGAATATAGAGATGCTCAAGAGATTGTGTCCCTGTTGATCTCATCTCCTTTACAGTACTACGGTACCCATACTTGGCGTATCAAACTGAAGAACCATCGATTACATGATCTCGACAAGAGCTCTACCGAACTTTTTCACTCTTACCCCTCCCTGTTGATCCGTATGCAATGGTAAGACGTAATGGGAACCGAAAGAGAGTGCTCTGAGCGAGTGGAGGTGATTGGTGTAAACCACCGCACCCAAAAGACTTCAAAGAATTACATTGACGCAATCAATTTAGATCGAAGAGAAGCCCTAGCCTGGTTGACGTCTTTGTGGTTCGGTGCGTCAGGTAGTGACATGTGGTAACGTGGTGTAATTTTACAACGAAGAATGAGAGTAACACCAAGAGCCGTGTGTAAGCTGGTAATCTCGAGGATTTTTGCTGTTTTCTTTTGACGTCGCTCGGAAGTGTTGATCTTGCCCTAACATTTGAAACCGGCATAGCTATAAGATTTAGTTTGTTTAATGCACAAATTGAATTTCATCATATCATGCCTGTATCTTATATTCGTAGTATTAAACACGTAGAGCTCATGCTGAAAATAGAGAAAACTTCCCTGGAAGGTTGCTAGCTTCTCTTGTTGACTGGATTGAGTAGGAACTGCTAGCTGAATTGGATAGCGTGGGGGTCTGGTACAACGCGCTTACCAATTCCAAATACAACTCAAGAAAGGAATGGCGATCAATGCGCGAGTATAGTAGACTCCACAAAGATACAGATACCCACCAGTGTTCAAGCTGACTCTTGGCTATGCAAGTATATCCGGTGGTTCATTCCTTCGAAAACAGAGGGGTGTTTTCTCACAAGTACTGTCTAGGCTCAGCAGTGAGACGTGGCGTATCTTGACCTCGGAGATGGGCGACACATGCGTCAAGACCACGCCAAAGTCAAGTTAATCATGTCCTTTAAAAGAATAGAGGCGTGGGGTAGTTGCGACAGTCCAATGAATGTAAGGTGCATCCTGGACGTTTTCTGCGAGACGAGCCGCCCGCGGAGTGGGGGCGCGCGCTATTGGACGCTGAGGCTTGTCTGAAAGAAAATTACAACGACAATGCCGCAACTTATTATCTCTTTCTGCATGTGCGATGGTTAGAGCTCTAGCAGAGGGGATAGTTGCATGTTAGCGCTCCGTTGAGTCGAGAGTTTCTGGCTTTTTGTTGGGCAAAGTCGGCGGCTTGCTGTTGAGGCATAATGCCTGTTCTGTACTCTGATTGGCCGGCTCTTCGGCGACAGCTGTACCACAATCGTATGTTCTACCAGGCCTGCATAGACGTGACAAGCAATCATACCGTATGTATCCTCACTGTACTACTACGCATGATACATAGATGCGAGAAGTTCCAGCCGCTTTGATCCTGCCCCAATCCGTCAACCATGCTTTGCGAAATCGCAGAAGGCCGTTGGCGAATTGTACCGATTGCGTGATTCAGTATGTGTTGATTGGCGCGGGAGAACTGGTGCGTTTCGTCCCGGTATGCATATAATTTGCGGGAGCGCTATAGGAAGCAAGATCGGCCGGAAAGGGTAAAGCCGCTATGCGCAAGTCTTGTAGTAACGACGGAGAGGACTCAATTGGTGGGCGTCAAACGGTACGTATCGCCAATACAAGCGACTTGGGATAGTCGCCCGCTTCTGAAGTATAGCGAAATTGGGGATGGAACTGGGTAGGCTGCCCAGCAAATGCGAATGTGCTGTTCTGCCATGTGATTGGTCCACACTGTGCTTTACATCTGTTCCGGCTATGCACACAATACTGACTGCGGCCCAATACATCCAGAATGCGGCTTTTAGACGTAAATGTCGTCGTATGTCATGTATGGGCCATGTCTCGTTGTCCTGCTGACAACACGTCGACTTGTCCCATTGGCCATTTCGTTCAGGTATAGCCTCATGTATCCACCGAGACGCGTCTCTCAAACCAGCCAGGAGCAGTGGTACACGAGCGACAAGTAATCGTTTACCACAAGCGCTTAAGCCTACTTCCACTCTATGGCCGCGATCGCGATCTGCTCAAAAGCTGGGGTAGCCCGCACCCTCTTCACGTCTCTTTCGCCTCTCATTCCGCCAAATACGCTACCAAAGCAGCTGGATCTACCAGAAGATGACCTGACCAAAGTAGGAGACGGACATGGGTGGTAGGTCGTCCGGGGGAACGATGGTGAACATGGTCCAGGCAGAGGGATGGATGGCGATCGACCGCTTTTCAGGCCACTCAGCGTTCGCCACGTAGGCCAGCAATTTTCAAACTTCTTCCCAACTCTTGAGACTGATGTGGCCTATTCAGAACAGTGTATACTTTGCTCAACCTCGTGTACTTTCCGTCAATCGTACGAGTAAGGGATATCAGAGTGCAACATACACGAAAAGGACGATGCGACACAAAGGAACACGACAGACCGATAACGAAAACGAACCACTATCGGCTCACTAGCAGAGTATTGGAAGGAGTACTCGCAGCCCACCTCACCATGCCCTACGGAGCGATGCACGTCGTCGCGACTTCACACAATGACCAAGCACATATTGGTCCATATGGGGTGGAAGATTAGGAGAGTCTCTGGTGGACTGTGAAAGTAAGCCGCATGGGCAAAGTACTGCTAACAAGACTGTAGGCAGTGGTGCTAGATTTGGAGACGTATGCAGGGCTGAGGAATAGTATATAAGAGTACGCACGACGATGGCGTGGGCGCAGGCCATCTGACACCATGAGCATGGAACAGCTAGGACCGGTGATTTTCTCGGCAGCACCCGTTCACGCTATCTCATCTCACTCTAGCGTCGTCACGTGTCGCTCGAGCTTCGAAATTACCCCACCGCTTGTCCTCCGTCGCAACAACAACCAACTTCCGTCCCCCCGTCCTTTCACGTCAAACCTCGTCGTCAGTGCCATAATTGCAGCTTGCCGTTACCGCTCGCCTTTGCCCTCAACATCTCAGAGGAGGGCGTCGTGCCGCTCGTAGCTGGGCCGTGCGCGATCAACTCTCCACTTCTATTTGCGGCTACGCGACACTCATGGATTGGACGGCTTCAGCCCCCATTCCACGGCACAGCGGCTACATTCACTGCAATTGGATACGCGACCAATCAGAAAAGAAGAAAATGTTGATTGCATCATGATAACCCAAGGGGTTCAGTAATAAAAAGAAGCGATTGTAAGAGGTAACGCCCGGCCTTTCCCGACCCGTCTTCCACCCCTCGGCACCCGCCTTTTCTGTGTCATTCCGTCTCCAGAAACGATGAATGAATGGACTCAACCTTAAAGGAGATACCGAAACGTTGTACATGAAACAAAATCCAGACGCCCGCGCCATGACCGCTGGCAGCTCAGTGAATCGCTTGCAGTCTGCGGTTGCGCTCGCAGGTCAGCTCATAGATCTCTCCGTCCAGACCGCGAATCATTTCCATCGATTTCTCAATTGAGGCTCCGAACTTGTGCGGCTCACGCTGCCACCGCCCGACGCGGTCCACCTCGGCGGCTCGGCGGCGTTGTTTCGTGTTGATCTTTTCGCACAGCTTGCAGAAAGTTCCCGTAGGAACTGTTTGCATGATGAGCTTCATACCACACGTCTCGCCGATTCGATACTCCTTGGCACAGTGCTGGCGGAAGTGGCCCCACTTCCAGTCGCCACAGGCAAAACGGTGCTGGTCGTAGAAGCACATGTTTCAGGCTTGAAGAGCTTGGATGTCTGGTGTTGCAATACGTTAGCCTTGGTGTTTGACTGCTTGGACGACAGCTCTTCAAGACGTACTTGTTGGTTCTCGTTCAAACACTGGACCTTGTTGATAGGACCAGCGACCGCACACCTGGGATGGGTCAGTTCAGGGCCCACATCAATGTCGAAGTTGATGGACACATACGGGATGGTTGGGTGGTAGATGACCTTTGAAGAAGGTGTTTAAGGTCTGTTCTCGAGAAAGAGGTTATACACGGAGCTTGGTGTAGCAAAAGATGAAGGCTGCTCAGGGGATCTAGTCGATGACTGGAAGTTGCTGTCAAGTTGAGCTTGATGAAGTCAATTGAGGGCAGCAGCATACCGCTATTTATCCTTCGAAACGCATCTCTGTCGCCGACCTCGCCGGTCATCCGTTGTGCTCGAGCCCGTTTCGCCATCAGACCATAGGTTGTTGCCATGGCCTATCCCTTCGTCGACGTGGTAGCACCCCACCTGTCCGCGTCCAACGATATCGCAGCGATTCAAGGATCCCTCTCACTCTGACGCTAAAACAATGCGGAGACGGGCTGCAATGATACCCTAGGCCGTGCCGGCGTTTCCAGCTGCAGACAGATATCACATCTCCTAGGCGATCAACGTGTCGTGGCTTCTTGAACCACGTAACCCTTTGTTGCGGATACGAAAATCCCTCATATTCCTTGTCGACATGTCTTAGCTGCCGCCGGGGATGCTGTGGTATGTCGTTCTCGAGCATTCCGGACCTCTCATGCCATATGAGATGGAGCATTTGTGAACCGAGATACGGTCACGTGCCGGTTGGTCCATGCCGAGTCACAGTCCGCTTCAAGAATCTTTTCTCGGAACTAGCAAGTGATTGGCCAATGGCTTCCGCTATTGGTACCTCAGCGGGAACGAGTTGAGAAAAATACACGGGCCAACCTTGAGTGCTTGTGGTTACCACATACTCCCAACGCGAGCTATGGTCGGCCGTTACAAGGTGCATTGACCAACGTTTGAAGAGTACGCATTACTGGCGTTCTCGGTTGGACATCGTTCACTCTCTGTCACTCTAGCACGTGTTGTGCTTGCGGTCTTTCGGGCGTTTGCCGGCTCGTTATGCTCCTTCCTCGACCCCCAATGTCCCCGTTTGCGGCCAAGCTAATCAATCTGTGTAGCATCAATCAGCTTCACCGATGGTGCTTAATCGCCTCTCGTGTCCACTAGACCTTCTCATCCGTCTCGCTTGGCTGACACACAACATGCCGGCCTTTCCACCATGGACTTGAGGCACTGTCGGCCAGTCACCTTATCTTCCCATGCTGCAGCAATGCGTCTTAGACAGTGCGCCTGGTCATCTATCACTGCTACCCGAATGGAACACTAGCAACCTCCGCATGCATGTTGCATTGCACGGACTGGGTCCTTCACTCAGCT